TGTTCCCCTGCAGCAGCAAGGGGAATGACCTGTAGCAGAGACCCAGGAGTACGGTGCAGCAATGCTGTTACTGAGACATGCTCAATAAAACTTGCTGTGAAAAAAAACGCTACAAAAAGAGCACGAAAGGAGGCATTGTTTCATAAAATGAAGTTTGCTTTACTGAGATAAGAATGCAAAGCTGTAAGCTAATGTTGCTGGCTTCAAAAGTTGTTTATTAATTTTTCTTCTAATGGGACAAGTTAAAGGAAGGGTCTTAAGTAGGAGACAAGGAAAGTAAAAGACAAGCAGCGTTTACGGGAGACGTTTGCCTCTATAGTCTTGAAATCCTTCTTGACAAAACTCCTTGAGGAACAGTGCAAGACTAAACACGTAAGCCAGAGCCTGTGCTGAGCTGGGTCTGCACTCCGTACTTGTGGGAGCTCTGCTGTAACAAATCATCTTCCAAGCAGCCTTGCTGATTGTGAACCTAACCCTGGCCACTTTTCAGATGCAGTAAAACTGTTGTGCGCTTAGATCAAGTCTGTTTATTTTTAGAGGTAAAGCCTTGTCTCTGCCACAGCGAATGGAGCTGGGCATGATTCCATCGCAGGTGTTTTACTGAGGATTCAGTCTGCATTTTATTCTGCTGTAGCAGCGAGCAAAAGCTAGCTCTCAGTGCTGGCTTAAGCGAAGGAACATTTTAAAGGCAATCAGCTGAGCTGTAGCAATTAAGGAAACCTTGGATTTCTTTCAGGCCACACTATCTCCTTTTTCTCACATTGTCTTGAAGCTTTACATTTTCAGCTAAGGCTAATTGAATGAGACAGTGATGCATTGCATGCTGAAAACAGATCAATCACTGCATGGCTCAAAATAAAAGCAGCGATGACACCCAGAACAAGAGCTTGGGAAATGTGATATTTACATCAAAATATTCTACATTTTTGTCTCATGGCTTTAAAACCTAATTTTAAAATGCCTTGACGCACTGCATAACAAATTTCTCCCTGCTTATCTGTCTGTATTGGTGTGCGTGCATTTGGACAATGAAACTGAATCATAAAATCAGATTTAGTAATAATGAGGTATGTTTTACACAGTTAAGCAGCCTAACTTACAGGTGATAAGTTAGAGGTATAAAAAAAAAAAAAAAAAAGAGGTAAAAGAGATCACACTGGATGAGCTCATTATTTTCTGCAGGAGACAGGCATATGACAGGGAAGTGGATATGAAGGTGGAGGAGAGTTTACTGTCATATTCAGTACTGCTATGTTTTACACCTTCCTTCACTTTAAATATTTACCTGGATGCTGTTTCCAACTCTTAGACAGCTTCCAGGCAAAACCTGTCATAAGTATTCACTTATGCTAACTATATTTGCATGGAAAATAAGGGAATGTTCTTTCCAAAATGACTAACTGAGAGTGAAGACTTAGTTTTATCTTTGTGACCCGAGCACCGTAAGAACAACAGAAAGTCTTAATCGGTGTTTTTGGGTATGCAAACTCTCAGCTCAGTATCTAAATCCCTTGTGAAGTCAGAGGGCTTTGTTTTCCTGTCAGTTCATAAAGTGCAGCGCTGAGGACAAAGCTGTCCTGCGGGGGCACAAAGCACTGAGTGCAGTTGTTCCACCATTTCCACGCCACACAGGGATACCAGCAGCCCGCATTCAGCAGCGGCACCCAAAAACATCCACAACTTCTCCAGCGGCAGCTCACCTCTTCTTTCTTGGCTGTCTCAGCTGGTGGCAACTCCAGAAAGTGGAGCCCCAGCGCTGAAGAACCTACACACTTTATGGATCAGTGTGCCAGAGGTTTTTGGAATATATATATATATATTTTTGGAAGCCTGACAAATGCATCTCTGGTTTCAGCGAAAGACTGGGATAATATAAACAAGCAGTCACTCTGTTCCAAGAGGAGCTTTTTGTAATATTCTTATTTTATTGTAATTACCTTATTGTTTTCATATTATGAGCTACTTGTAGAAAAATACAGGAAACACGACTGTGATACAATCCTTTAATCAGGAATAGCTTTGTTCCAGTCTTCATTTCCATTCAGTGTTGAAACCTCGCCTAACAGGAACAAAACCAAGCCTTGAATTTAGATGTAATACAGCGTTAATACTGCGGTATCACGTAGCATTTTATCTCTGGACATGAGAACTTCTGTAAGAGAACCTTTTAAAAAGTTTATAAGGGTTATTTTGTCCACAAGGCTGTTTTGAAGTAAATCTTACTACAAAGTAGTGCTTCTCAAAAGTACATAAACTTCTTCAAGAGAGCCACTTAAAAATCTTTTAACCTGAATCAGCTGGGGAATTTGTATTATCATATATATTAAATCTTCTCTTTTCTCTCTCTCTTTTTTTTTTTTTTTTCCTTTTGCTTACAGATTATGCCAGAATGGATTTACTACATCATTGTTAAAGCATGTGAGCTTTTTAAGGAAAAAAATCCATTTTTTTTAAATACGTAAATAGATTTAATACACTGGTTATTTGTCTTATCCCTATGTGTGATCCCGTTCTGCAAATCATTTTATTACTGATTTCAAATCTTCCTCACCCACATCTTATTTTAACCTATTCAGCAGCCGAATGTTTATGTTTTTGAATTAAAGACTGGAATTAAGCTTTTTAAAGCTGAACTGTTTTAACAAAAAGCATTTGTCCAAGAAAGCTAAAAGACTGCTCCCAAGCTGCTCGAAAGCAGAATGCAGCCACATACAGAAAGCAGCAGCAATTTGTTTGCTTTTCCCGGTCCATTTCTTAGCTGGAAAAGCAGTATCCTTGATAGGATCAGATTCAAAGGATATTTTTGCTACAAAGATTGTGGATGTGAAATTATTGCTTAAACAGCATTTCCAAAAAATGAAAACAAGTTTTATGATACGGCTTTTACGACTTAAAACGAGGTGGTATTAAAACACAACTTCTAGCTCGTGGCTCGAATTAGAACTGAATAAAAGGCAGTTGTTTTCATAATGAAATTATTATTTTAAGAAGGATTTCCTTGTTTGCAGGCACATACATACACACGTATTAATGTGAACTAAGCTGAACCCCAGATAAAAGGCATACCTCTGTGAGTGCGTTAGGGCCCGATCCAAATTTTATCAAAGTTAGTGGGAGCCTTTCTCATTTCAAACCAGATTTTGCAATCCATATTCACACGACCCTCTGGGGGATCCCTCAAGCTGACATGGTTTTACATGACTCGGCCCCAAATGTCTGCGGCAGTTTCTAACAACCCAGTACAGGGCTGCAGTAGGAAATCATTTAGTCTAATTTAAGGAAATCACTGCATTTTTATTTTCATATCATTTTGTTCCTATACATCAATTTACTCTTTTCTGAAGGCACACTGGAATGCTTTCAGCATAAAGACTGAAGTATTACAAACGCTGCCTGGAACAGCCTCAGCAGACGTGTTTGTTCCACATCCCCTTCTGCAATATTTCCTTTGGTGGATTTCCTCTGCTGCTGGAAGCGAGCTGTCTAGCTTTCTGCAACACAATTACAGAGAAGAATTTCCTACATTTTACTGCACAGGATGAGGTGATTTTGGAAGTTATCACAACCTGAACCACACTTGCACAAAAGACAGCAGCAGCAGGGTACAAAATCCAGTGTGCCTGTCAACTGCAATGTGTCCATCATAGAATCACAGAATGGCCTGGGTTGAAAAGGACCGCAATGCTTGCCTAGTTTCAACCCCCCTGCTATGTGCAGGGTCACAGGGTGCCCAGAGCCACATCCAGCCTGGCCTTGAATGCCTCCAGGGATGGGGCATCCACAACCTCCTTGGGCAACCTGTTCCAGTGCTTCACCACCCTCTGTGTGAAAAACGCCCTCCTACATTAACCCCAGTGTGTCCATCAACCCCAATGTTCCCATCAGCCCCACCAATGGGCACAGTATAGAGAAGGAGAAACCTGGCCCAGGAGTAGGGCAGAGCCCTGCCATTCTGCCACCATCAAGTGGAGACTCCTCAAGTTAAGGGCAATGGCAGCATTCAGCCTCAGCTTTGTAGTTCTGTGCTAAAGTCTGTTTTGTTGCTCTCTAAACACACGCAGATATAATTTTGGTCTTTACTACAGAGAAACTAAACTTGCATGGAGAGATGACACTTTATTATAAACCATCGCATACAACTGCAAGTTGCAAAAGCCAAGTGGGTATTACAGGAAGATGCAGTCAGTTCCTTGGTCCTCATTTAGAGATGCAGTCACAGGAGGTTTCTCCTTGTTTAATGTTGCTGGTTTTGATGACCGGTTGTGGGATTGTTTTGGTGTGGTAGCACTTTTAAAAGCACTTAAACAGTGAAGTGAATATGAACAAAGTCTTGTTTTCTGTAACGGTTTTGAGATCATTTATTTTCATTTACGAGGTGTTTGGACTTTTCTTTCCATGGGGATGCTGGAAATTCTTAAGAAATTTAGATGCAGGCAATTCAAAAGCTGGCTGTTTACTACTGCTGCGTGTGGTTACCCATATTCACAACAGTCTTTCAGCATCATCTGTCTGTGATCACATTTTTATTTGAAAGAGAACAGTTGTCATGTTTGCTCTGTGATTTACATTATTTAAACAAGCAGGGGGAAAAGGAATTTGAAGCAGCTCATTCAATAGCATGACTAAGATGTATGACAACTTATTATAAAGCGTTCACCATTATAAGGCACATACACAACAACAAAGAATAACTCTTTTGCTCTGAAATAGCCTGGTGAAAGGATGCTGCCTCCTGGTGATTTATAGGCATATGAACTTCCACGACAATTACATTTTAAATATTTTGCCCTCAGAAGGCAGCCGGATCTGAGAGCCGTGCTCAGCCTGCGTGGATGTGTGCATCTCACCCGGTGCCCACCGACCGCTGGCTGCTGCTTCTGAGAGTTCCCCCAAGTTTCCTTCCTCAGACAGGTTGTGGCTGCAGCAGCACAGAGCCCAGCAACGATACTGTGCAGTGGGGAGAGGGAGACGTTCTCACAGTGATTTTCTCTTCTCCACAGGATTTCCTTCAAGGGGACTGTACCAAAGCCAGGCAAAAGCTGAACTGGAAGCCCAGAGTCACATTTGATGTGAGTGGGGGAGCTTTGTGCCTACCAGGGGTTCCTGTCCTCCAGGAGCCACCTGGCGTGGGAGGGTTTGGCATGTCAGTGACCACCCTGGGCTGTTGCTCCTTGGATGGCAGCAGCCACTTCAGCAGCATGTCTGACTTCACCCTGGGAAAGAAGTGTGTGCTCATGGAGGGAAGCAAAAGAGGGCACAAACAGGGGAGTACACAGGCAAGCACTGGAGGAGCCACGTCTCCTCCCCATCCCGCTGGGGGCTGGGGGCTCATCATGCTGCAGGGTTCATCCCTGACTCCGGGGCCCTCACCTGCCTTTCTTCTTCACAGGAGCTGGTGAGGGAGATGGTGGACGCCGACGTGGAGCTCATGAGGAGCAACCCCAACGCCTGAGCCTGGCGGGACCCAGCCATGGCACAGCTACATGGGGGCCATGTTGGGGGCCACCCCCAACCCCGGTGGCTCTGTGCTAGCAGCCTGTGTGTACAAGGCCGGTTTTGTCCTTCCTCCATTCCCCCAGTGCCTCAGGCCCCACATCGGGGGCAGCCCCGCTCCTCCACCCAGGCCACCTTTGGTGCCTGCCGCACTACTTTACCTAGAGGAGCCATTGGCCAGAGAGCCCACCGACTTACTTTTTAATTAAAACTTGTCTTTCTATTACCTAATGCGACCTCCAGCGCATTTTTAGTACTTTCTCCCATCTGAATGCCAGCACCCCCCAGCAACAGCAGCAGCACACCCCCAGTGCTGCGTGTGCCCTCCGGTCCCTGCTCCACTGCATCCCCCTGCCTTCCTCTTCTGAGCACTCCTTGTTTTCCCTTCCTGCAGCTTCCCTCCACCCAGCGACCCATTTCCAGCACTTGAACTCTGTAAAAATTCAGATAACTCGATCTAACTTGCAGTGAAATCGCCTTTTGACCATGCCAAATTAATTCCTAATTGCTGGAATCGCTTTCAGATCAGGCAGAGGGGGTTTGCACGCACGCTTCAGATCTTCATTGCAGGGTGTAAGGGGTCACAGAGAGCCTTTTAGTCCTTCCCAGCCCCTCCTTCCCGAAGTACCTTCCCAGCCCTGGGGTTTGGATAATTTTTTCCCCCTTTTTTTTTCCCCCCAGAATCATCTCATTCCCCACCCACCTTCTTCCTGCATACTATGATTAAACCTTGGACTGGAGCTTGAACCATCTCAAACGATGGCTTAAGAAATAAAAAATAAAAATAAAAAATAAAATAAAAAGAAACGTTTTGTTTTGTTTTGTTTTAAAAAAAAAAAGCAACTTCAAGGTGAGTAAATATTTTTGCACTCTTCGTGCCAAGGTGCCCGGGTTATCCAGAGGCCGCCGAGCCCATCCATTTCCCGTTGGTTTGGGATCTTCCACCACTGATCGTGGCCATCGCTTCAGCCAGGTGCCCCAAACACAAACGGGGCCATCCTGCAGCCGACCAGAGGGAGCTCTCATGGGGGAGTTGTGCTTGGTGCTGGATGGGGCACCGTCTTGCAGATAACAGGGGGGGAGGCACGATGGGGGCTGCAGGGAGAGAGGGCTCTTTGTGCGCTCCGGCAGCTGCCAGAGATGCGGTGGAAAATGTGTAGGGTGCTGTGGGGCATGGGGAAAGGGGATTACTGTGGCACAGCCCATTGGGGCCACTTTGTGCAGGTGAGCAGAGTGAGAGCCCGGGGTTGTGAGCTGCAAGAGTGGAGGGGGAGAGAGAGTGATGGGAGCTGCCCTGCTCCGCTCACTTTGAGTCACAGCACCCGTGCAAAAGGCTATTGCTGGCAGATCTCCGTGGCACATGTAATAATATCAATTAATAATCATCAAAAAAAGGAAGATAACTCAACCCTAAAGCACTTTCCCGACGACGTATTTCTGGGAACTATTTTTGCATACAGTGATGTCCTGGGATGTTCGCAGTAATATCGGCTTGCAGCCCCTTGTGCGTGTCGCCGGCGCTCCTTCGCCCTCGGTGTTGTTCTCTGCTCGCCCCAACCGCGCTGCGTTAGAGCCAGGCGGTGTTCAGCCTTTATACTGGGGCAAAAGGGGGGGAGCGGCAGACAAAACGGGTCCTAAACCAAAGGTTCCCTCAGGGCGATTTACAGTTCCTCTGCCAGCCGCGCTCTTCGCAACGACCACGGGATCACGTTTTAAAAACGGAACAAAGCAAAACAAAACAAAGTCATATAAAATAAAACAATAAAAAATAAAATCCAAACTCACGGCGACGTGAGCAGACGATCCCTCTATACGGAATCAATGCACCGCTCACAGACCCACGTTCCCAATGCCCGTTCATCGCCCAAGTCGGGAGCAGCGCAGCCCCATCCCTCCCTCCCGCACACCGTCGCTCCGACCGCGCCGTCGGGCGCATCGCGGCTCCGCGCAGCTCCGAGGGCGGCACACAGCTGAGCGCCCGGAGCCGCTCCCACGGGCGGCAGCGAACCGAGCCGGGCCGAAGGAGTGCTGCCGCAAAGCAAAACAAAACCAAGCAAAACAAAAAAAGGCTTTCTTCTCTCTCTCTCTCTTCTTT